GCTTCTCAGCGGCTTCAATAAATTTATCCATCTCTTCACAGAAACATGCATTGAACCTTAACGAACCATACATCCAAGAGTTCCTGTACTCCATCTTTTACAACAACAACAAAAAACATTAAAGGACTACTTATTCAGATATATATAAAAATGAATCAAAATTAATAATTACTTGAGAATAATTGTATATACTTCAGATATATATGAATATAAATCAAATATAATTACATGAAGCATACAAACACACCATGGTAGAGGAAAATTAATTAATGGCCTATTTATCCATAAATAATTAAAATACATATTTGTTGATTACAATAAATAATTTTAAAGACAACAATTAGCAATAATTAATATTTTACCAAATATCTTTCATGCAAACCCTAGTCCAATTTCATCAAACATAAATTTACAAAAACGAAATTAATAAAAAAAACCAAACCCTAGATCTAGATCTACATGCACATGAAACATCCATAAAACTAATTAATTGTTCACTAAAATCAAGAAACATGGACCAAATAAGGGTATGATCTTGTTCCCCTACCTAATTTACCATAGTACATTCAAAACTTGGTCTAATTTGCTTCATAAGTAGCTCAAACACCATAGAAGAGAGATAAAAGCAAAACTCTAATTACTCACTAACCAACCATTAAAACTTAAAAAAAATGTGAAATAGCATTTTCTTAGTTTCTACAACCTCTCCAAAGAATTTGAGACCAAAACCTTCCCCTTAGTAGAGCAATTTTTGGGAGGTGCCCAAAACTTCCCTACCTTTTTTCACTGGTTGGAGTGAGTGACCCGAGGAGAAAGAAGGGGCTGTAGTTTTTATACGTGGGGCATTTGTAGGGGCGGCTCGTATCACCGGCCGTCCTTACTGTGCCATTTGTAGGGGTGACTGGTCTCGTGGGTCCCGAGAACGCCCATTGTAGGGGCGGCTCCATCACCAGCCATCCCTACAAAAAAAATTAACCCGTTGCTACAAATGTTTTTTTGTAGTAGTAGATTGATGCATGCGTGATCTCATGGATATAGTAAATCTTTTTATTTTGCAACTTTGGACTTGATATATTTTGGTTAACATGTGAACTAATACACTTAATTTGCATGGATGTGATTTGCATGTGTGCCAACACGTGACATGTACCTGATTTGCATGTGTATGAGATTTGGTGACTAGCGTGTGGGTGTAATACATGATTACATGTACGTGATTTGCATGTGGTACTGTAACCATACGTGTTAGAGATGAGTGGGTAACGTGTGTTAGTACATGTAACCGTATTATGTTTTCACAATTTTGGTAAAAATACACTTGATTGTAAGTTTTTTGATGTGTTAGCCAACAGTACAACATATCACAATTTCATAACATGTCATGTGCGGCGTTCATCGACGGTCTGCGAACTGCCGGCTTGAGGACGTTGCACGGGCCGGGTTGGGGCTGCAGACATGCGTCATGCTGTTAGACCACAACTGCCGGCTTGAGGACGTTGCACGGGCCAGGTTGAGGCTGCGGACATGCGTCATGCTGTTAGACCAGTCTCGGTGAGGGTTTCATGACCCAGTTTCCAACACAATCATATTTTAAAAACAGTGTATAAGAATTTCATTCCCATAAAACTCTGTAAAACTCACATTGAGATTGGCCTTACGGTGGCTAAACTTGCATGTTTTTATTGTTGCCACCAATGATGACTGGACCACAGAAAAGGAAGGGCACAGGGCTCAGAAAAGGAATGGGGCACCTGCTAGTTTCTGTCTCCATGACTTGAGAGGATTCGACAATATCTTTTTTATTTTTCTAAATTAATTAATTAATTAATTTTATTCAAAAAAAAAAAAAATCAAAGGCTCAGATTTATTTGAGGTATTACCTAAATGATGTACCGTAGCAATGCCAATCATTGATTATTACTGTCACATTATTGATATTACTATTCACTAATAAGAAAACTAAAATGTTCACTTGTTTAGCAGCCTGTGCACTAGTACAATATTATCCTTCATTTCTTTGTCTCCTGATTCCCTTTATATCCTCAGTACATTCATTCAGCGCAGGATTATGTCCCCTTTGTTCGCCTTTTGTCATGCTGAAACCTGAGAATGATGCCTTTTTAAAATGACGGTAATTTGTCACCTCAATATGTTTGTCATTCGGCAGTGGGATGCAACCGTGTAATTCTAACTATATGGGTAATGCCTACATTATATGACCAGCATATATACTCTATTTTTCTACCTACGATATAAGGCCACATTATTTATCAAACCGGTATATTTGCCTCTCTCTCCTTTTTCCATTTCTGCCTACATTATTTGACCAGCATATACTCTCTATTTTTTGTACCCACGTGAAAGATTCCACGTCTGGCCAATAATGTAACCTTGGAGAGTTGATGGCCTGTCTTTTCAGCGTGTATATGTCGGCTGCTGACTGGCCCAGGTCATATCATCTGCTTTCACTTGTGTAAAAATGCCATGAATTTTGCATGTGGAATATTCATCTCAAAACATAGTAACCGGCGCATGCATGTTTCGATCCTATACCAGAATATCAGCTTTGAAATGCCTCTGTACACTTCAAAGAGAGGGATATTTGAAAACTATCCAAACTAATAGGTAGCTAGCCAGTGAAAGAGTGCCCTACCTTTAAAGAAAATTTACTCTCGAAAAGAAACTTATTATTCTAGTTTTGTCCTAAATCAAACCATCTTGTTTATCGAAGTTAGTATCAACATTTATAACACCAAATAGACATATACTCCCTGTAAACTCTATGTAAAAACTGGTATTTCTGTTGATTTCAATGGAAATGGGGAGATTCCTCGTTTCAAAAAAAAACACCAAATAGACATATATATACTCCCTCTGTCTCAAATTAAATCAATTTTTAAAGTCGTTCTAACTTCTAAGTCGAACTATTTTAAGTTTGACCAAATTTATAGAAACAGCACCAATGTTATGTTTATGACACTAAATTATAGTGTCACTTAATACATTATGAAATATATTTTTATATTTTACATATTTTATGTCATAGAATTTGTCACCTTTTTCTACAAAGTTGGTCGAACTTAAGAAAATATATAATGAATCAAATGATGCTTAGTTGGTATAGTAAAAATGATTTATTTTATAAAATTACTCCATCTGTCCTAAAATAACTACACATATCGCTTTTCAATGAGTCAATTTTTTCTAAGTTTGACTAACTTTATAGAAAAAGTATTAACATTTATATCTATAAATAACTTTATTATAAAAAAACAATTAATTTGTTGATACTTACTCTGCATCATAAATATTAGTACTATTTATTATATATTTGATCAAACTTTTTTAAAAATAACTCTCAAAAAGGTGGTGTGCAGTTCTTTTGGTAAGTAGGTAGCTAGTTGTTGCCATTGGACAAAACTAAACTGAGGTGCTGTTTAAATTCAATGGCTAAAGTTTTTGGGTGTCACGTTGGATGTCACGTCGGGGTGTTACATGAGAGTGTTCGGATAGTAATAATAAAACAAATTATAGAAGTCCTCAGTAATCCGCGAGACGAATTTATTAAGCCTAACTAATCCATCATTAGCACATGGTTGTTGTAGATTTACTGTAGCAACTCATCGTTAAGTCATGGACTAATTAGGCTTAAAAAATCCATCTCGCAAAATTAGTCGCAATCTGTGTAATTAGTTATTTTTTAGTCTATATTTAATACTACATGCATGTATTTAAACATTCGATGTGATAGGAACTAAATTTTAGAGGAGGAACTAAACAAGGCTTGATTTTTTTTTTGTAACAGTCAGAGTGCCTACGAAGTAGAAACGTTGGCCTTGGCTTTTTTGAGGCTCGTCCTGTGGTACAACCGATGCCGAGGTTGTGTGGCCAGCAAAGGCGATTCCGGCTGGGATCCTTGTGATCTTTCCTGGACACACTGCGACGCCCATTCCTTTGTTATCTGGGCGCAAAGTTGCTTGGCAGCCGCAGATTCATCGTGCTCAGCATTATCGATCGCCACGAATTCCCAGAGCACAAAACAAAGGTGGATTCCAAGGTAGCCGGGACGTAAAAAAGGGCAGCACCGATTTATATCTAATCGATTCCTTGATGACATAATCCTGAAAGCTTCGAATTCCCGTGTCTATCTCAATCGGATGATTTTTTTATAATTAATAAAATATTAATTATAACAAGATCGATAACTGGGGAATTAACAAAAAACAGCAAAGAAAATCTTACTAATCTTAGCAGATTCGATAACCGATGATATTGTATTAAACAACAAGTTATTTGACATAAGATCAATAACTTTGATCTATATTATGATTCGTAAGAGATCAATCAGCTGATGCAACCTTACAAATTACGATACAGATCGATAACTAACTTATATTATGGCTCATAAAAGATCAATCAGCTGATGCAGCTTTACAAGCACAATATAAGTTGTGATGGTACTCATAAGCAAGCTGGAGGTCGATTAGTCGATGCAGCCCTGTTTGCTGAAGAACTCGTCGAGATCTACAGTACTCCTCCTCCTAATGCGATGGCGAAAGCCGGAAAGATTGTATTGATTGAATGTTCATTTTTTGGTACAATAAACAGGGTCTAATATTTATACCCGAAACCTAAATATGAATCCTACTCAAATACGACTTATTACAATTCTTGGAATAAAAGAAAACTTTCAAATTTAATAATAACTTGACCCTAATTTTCCTTATTTATAGAGTCCGACACATCTTCCTGGCGCCATTCAAGCATAGCCTATTGACGCCGTCTGCTGACGTCATCTATAAAACAGTCAATTCTAACATCGCATCTAAATCAGCTGATACCGATTTACATCTAATCGATTCTTCGATTACACAATCCTGAAAGCTTCGAGTTTCCGTGTTCTTCTTTCCAAATTTTAGTGTGTGTATAAATAAGGAAAATTAGGATCCATAGGCTTGCTAGCTTCCAAACGACAAACTGCTTACACTACAAAGCTCTCGATGTCGACGACGTCAAGGGACAGCCTGGTGCTGGGGCGGGTGGTCGGCGACGTGGTGGACCCGTTGTCGCCGACGGTGGCGCTCCGAGTCTCCTACAACGGACGGCACCTCATCAACGGCTCCGACCTCCGGGCGTCGGCGGTGGGAGCAAGGCCTCGCGTCGAGATCGGGGGCACCGATTTCAGGCAGTCCTACACGCTTGTAAAGTGTTCTTCCAAGCATCCCTTTTGGCTGATATTAGTCCTAATTATTAAAAATCAGCCTTGCTTGACGTGTGTGCATGCATGTCCTATTGCCATTCCTAGCTAAGCTAACTGATTATTCATGATGCGTTCATTTACATATGCCGTCCGTGTGGCTTTTGGATCATCGAATCAAAAGGTTACGGTGGATCCTGACGCTCCCAACCTGAGCAATCCGACGTTGAGGGAGTATTTGCATTGGTACCATATGTACATATAATTAATCCTCACACATACTTCATCCGTTCCAAAATAACTCCACATCTTAAGAAATGAGTCAAATGCTATTTTAAATTTAACTAGATTTAAAGTTGAACTTCAAAAATTAAGTGAGAAGTGCAGCGGGGCGGAGGGAGTAAGTATTGTGTTTATGTTCTAAAAGCCATGCATAGTTATATTTGGATTTCATTGATCACCTTTCATTTTGCAGGTTGGTGACAAATATTCCTGGGATAACTGAAATTGAATATGGTGAGTAGAAAAGTGCAGTAGCTAGAAATGCATTGTGCATGTCAGCAACATCACGTGTCTTTTTTTTTTTTTTTTGAGAATTAGCAACATCACGTCTCGATTGCATTGTGATCCACTTTTGAGTGAGGAAGTAAGAGAGCTCAAATCAACGTCAGATAATTAAATGCTTCGATATTACACCATAAAACTAGACAATATTCTATGTGCCAATATAATTCAAACGGAAGAATTCTAGCCCAAACCAAAAGTCGCACCGGTGGTCCACAAGGTCCAGCGGTGATGAATAGCTCATCACCGCCGGATCATATGCCGCTTGAGCCGGCGATGATGAAGTCTTCATCATCGTCGAATCATATACCGAAATGGTGGTGATACTGCCCTCATTACCGCCAGATGAAACACCGAGCCGGTGGTGATAAAGTACCAATGCTGATGAAAACTGGTGGCGAGGTGGAGGAGGACAGGGGTTATAGCCGCCAGCGATGAGGTTTGTGCAGTAGTAGAGTATCAGAGAGCGTCAACTAATAAAATTATGTCATGGGCCGTTTCTTCTTGGTCCTGGACTATAGGGACTCTGGATTTTAAGCGTGGCGCCTTCTTAGAAATTAAACCTAGCTAGAGTGGTTACTATGTTTGTGTTTATGTGTTATGAGTGAATTGAGGAAGAAATATACAACTTACAAATGCTTCCTTTTCACATTATACATGAATACGATTTTGTACAAATTATTTAGGATTCAGTATGTATCTTGTTATTGTATAATCAAAGCCATTCCAATTATCTCTAGCTAGCTTTACGCTTTCATCGACCGTTATTCGTGCACCTTCTACTCTCTGTAAGTAAACCTTTACAGTTTGTCTTAATTATTTGTCAATATATGATGAGCTTGTTTAGATATTGGACAATTGAAATGCAAAAGATGCACTACTGGAAACGCGTGCTTTGCCGAGGGCCAAATCTCGGGCACTCGGCAAAGACACTCTCCGAGGCCGAGGGCCCCAAAGAACCCCTCGGCAAAGAACGGTCCCGGCAAAGAGGCCAAAACGGCCTCGGCAAAGACAAAGCAGGCCCATGGCAAATCAAATCTTTTTGCGAGGGAGCCCTCAACAAAGATGCCCTCGATAAATTAGGCCCGTTGGGTCACGGCGGCCATTCCCCGTCAAGCTTTGCCGAGGGCCACCCGTTAGGCCCTCGGCAAAGGTTTTTTTTTCTTGAAACCAGGTTATTCGGCAAAAAAAACATTTAAGTCTTTGCCGAGGGCCCTAGACCAGGCCCTCGGCAAAGATTTTTTTAAAACTAGTTTTTCGGCCAAAATTTTTTTTTTTATAAATCGCCTTTGCCGAGGGCCCGAGGCTAGGCCCTCGGCAACGAAGCCCTTTGCCGAGGGCCAGGATAGGCCCTCGGCAAACTTTTTTTTTAAATTCTTTGTCGAGGGCCACGGGCCAGGCCCTCGGCAAAGAGCCCTCGGTAAAAAAAAATTTTGTTTTTTTAGCCCAGTTTTTTTGTGGTGCTACAATACATTGTTTTGAACTCAATTTTAAAATTTAGGCCAATTTTGATTTTGTTTTGTATATTTTCTTAATTTATTTCGATTCTTTGATTTTTTTCGAATATGTCAAATTTGAACTGCATGTGCATGGAATATTGCAATGTAGTGTTTCGAAAAATGTTATTCATGTTAATTGGTGCATGTTGAGTCCCTATCCACAAACTGCATCAAATTTTCACGCATCACACATGCGTAACATGACGACCGACTTCTTGAAAAAGTGTTTTAAAATTATATAAAATCCATATGGAGTTATAAAATTTAAAAAACTTGGCGAGAAGTCATGTTATCGCATATGGCTGTGGTAAAAAATTGAGAAGGCTTGATGCGAGTTGCGATATCGGATATGGGAAACTCCAACATGCACCAATTAACATGAATAACATTTTAACATGAATAACATTTTTCAAACACATTGCAATATTCCATGCATGCAGCTCAAATTTGACATATCAAAAAAAATCAAAGAATCGAAATAAATTAAAAAAATATACAAACAAAACAAAATCAATTGGCCTAAATTTTAAAATTGAGTTCAAAACAATGTATTGTAGCACCACAAAAAAAAATGGGCTAAAAAAAAAAATTAAAAATTGCCGAGGGCTCGGCCGTGGCCCTCGGCAAAGAATTTAAAAAAATAAAAAATCTTTGCCGAGGGTCGTGGATCTGGGCCCTCGCAAAGGACCGAACCCTAAATCGGTCATGCAGCCCAAATTCCCGATCGGAAATTGTGAAAAAAAAAAACGCTCGACCATCTCCTCCCCCCGCCTGGCTCGCGTCCTTCGCTGGCTCCCACCACCGCCGCCGCAAGACCACCACTGCGCACATGCGCTGTGCAGCCATTGCTGCTGCTGCGCTGCCTGGCCGAGCCGCTGAGCCGCCGACCGCCTTGCAGCAAGGCCTTGCGCCCGCCCCGCCCCGCCACCAGCGCAGCCGCCGGCCAGCCGCTGCCCCACCACCACCGCAGCCCGCTGGCCTCCACCCCTGCGCCCGCGCCGCTGCCGCCTGCCACGCCACAGCTGCCAGCCACGCTTGCCCGCCGCCCCAGGCTGCCCTTGCCGCCGGCACACCCCACCGCCCCCCGGCCTCGCGCCGCCACCGCCAGCGTGCCCCACCACCCCACCACGCCCAGTGGCGGCCGAGGTCGCGCCCTGCCTCCATTCCCCGTCTTTGTCGAGCAAGGGGAGGTCGACCGCCTGGCCGACCCCTCGTGCTCCCCCCTGCCGGCCTTCCCGCCTCGACCCTAGCCCCTAGGCCACCCCATCATCCATCTGGCTGTTGGGGGGAGGAGGCAGAGGTGAAGTTGGGGAAGAAGAGAAGGAGAAGAGGAGAAGGAGGAAGGGGAAGAAAAGGAGAAGAAGAGGAGAAGGAGGAAGGGGAAGAGAAGGAGAAGAAGGGGAAAAGGAGAGAAGAAAGGGAAGAGGGGAGAGGAGTACTCCAACGCCGCTCGACCTCGCCGGAGAAGAAAGTGACTCTCGCACCACGACGCCCGACTCCACCGCAACCCTAGGTAAAACTCTCGTTGTCAGCCTTCGTGCCGTATGTGGTTGTGTGGGCCTTCGTGCCGTAAGTTGATATGAGGGCCTTCGTGCCGTTGTGGTTGTCGGCCTTCGTGCCGTTGTGAATGTCGGCCATCGTGTCGTTTTTTTGCAGGTTTTGGAAACCTCCCCGTGCAGGGGAGGTGCTGCCGAAATTTTGAACAAAAAATAACCTATTGTCTTTTTATGCAGGAGAAGAGTACGTCGGAGGGGACCCGGAGGACCCCAATCGTCTTCGTCGACGTCGCGATTCTGCCTGCACTGCGTCGCCTCGCCACTGCATCGATTCGCCACTGCCCCGCTAGCCTTACTTCACCGACACCCTAGGTATAAATAACCTCTTTTTGCGCATGTCTATCGTAGCCCGCGTGTAACCCAGTTAGGCGTCTCCCGTCCGAAAGTGATATGGTCGTAAGTATGCGGATCTTTGTGTATCTGCAACCGTATCTATTTTGGATTGTCCACGTTTTTGGACAGCCCGTGGATGCGTAGATGGGTTAGTTTCCATGGTCCGCTCCGGTCCGAGAAGAGTTCGGCAACACCTCCTATTGTTCTCCGGATACACACTCTCCCTTGCGGGACGTGTATCGGAGAACAACGGGAGGTCTTTGCCAAATCTATCTCGAGAGGAGCGGAGCATGGAAACCGACCTCATCTACGCATCCATCATGGTGGATTAGGACCTATCCTCACCTATTAGGCGGTAGGAACATCGCGTAGATGCAATTGATGGTCACAATACTCTATGTTTGTAAATGTTAAAGGATGGAGGACCGTCGATTGGATGTACGAAATTTGGAGAAGCGGGAGTGACTACGACTATGAATGGGTGAAGGGGACAGATGGTTTCTTGAAACATGCATATGGCCTAGGAGCAGGAGGACATTCTCTAGTTTGGTGTCCCTGCAGCAAATGTGATAACAGGAGAAAAGTAGACGAGAAGACCATGGGTAGACATCTTGTGTTCAATGGTTATACGCCTGGCTACCAGCAGTGGATCTACCATGGTGAAGCAGATCGTATAAGAGCGGACATGGTGAGAGCACGCCTCGAGGCTTTTGATGATGATGTCGGGGTAGCAGACATGCTAGATGACGCCCACCAAGCTCACTTCGCTGAATGACGTGAGAAGGAGGAGATGGAGGAATCCGCAAAGGACTTCTACAAAATATTGGAATCGGCAGAGAAACCCCTTCACGAGCGTATAATGATTTCTCAACTAGATGCGATTGGACGCATAATGGGGTTGAAGGTCGAGTTAAACCTGAGTCGAGAAGGCTTCGATAAGATGTTGGCCATGTTTGGCACCATGCTACCGGAGAAGCACACTTTGCCGATGAACTTGTATGAGGCAGAGAAACTCCTTCGTATGCTTAAGATGCCGTATGACAAGATACATGTTTGTCCGAAGGGGTGCGTCCTATTTAGGAAAGAACACAAGGATGCAAATTACTGTTCGAAGTGTAAATCCTCCAGGTACCTGGAGGTAGACTCTGGTGATGGTCAGAAGAAGTAGCTTCCGATCCCCGCGAGAGTGCTACGTCACCTTCCTTTCCTACCGAGGATCCAACGGTTATTCATGACTAAGGAATCCACGAAACAGATGACATGGCACAAAGATGGCAAACGGTACAATCCTAGGAAGATGGTATATCCGTCTGATGCTGAAGCATGGACGTATTTCAATGACAAACATCGTGACAAAGCAGCTGAGGCTCGTAATGTACGTGTCGTGCTGGCAACAGATGGGTTCAATCCTTATGGAATGATGGCTGCCCCATACACATGCTGGCCCATTTTTGTTATCCCCCTCAATCTCCCTCCCGGCATCTCCTTTCAATGGCATAACGTATTCTTGTCGTTGATAATTCCTGGACACCCAGGGAGTAATATGGATGTGTTCATGGAGCCT